TTTTTTTTTTTTTTTTTTTTGGGGGGGGGGGGGTTGGAGGTAACAGGGTGACAGCTGAGTGTAGAAAAAGCCAATTTTCTTTTAAATTCCACCATAATAATTTATGGAGTTTCAATTATCATCTATATTTAGATTTAAAACTACAAGATGTGCAATATTTTTATGGTTGAGTTCACACCAGTTACAGTTTAAGTCAACACTGGTTAAGATATTGTTGCCAACCAAAAAATGCAATTTTAATATATTAAAATTAAATCAACCATTACACAACTGAAGTATACCTGTTCTAAATATATAAACTTCACTAGCTGTAAACAAACTCTAAAATTCATAATCATGCATGTAGCTGGCTCTCTGTGGTGAAAGATGCGATAAAGAATTTTGGTTGAGACATCTAAATTTTACATTGGAAAATACATGTCTTTTGAATGTATGAAATAAAGTGAACGTGCTTGAAAAAAAAAAATTTAGAAGCTGAAATATTTTGAGGAGCATTTAGAACCAATAACCCCCACCCACCCAACCTCCCCCATTGTACTCAAGTCCACCAGCATGGCGATATTAACCATGCTTTGCCTTGAGGACCGTTCACATGAAAAATCTATTTTCTAAAAATCTAAAAATCTATTGGCGGTATCTTGTGATCACGGTCTGGTGTCAGAATCTCCTCCAAGCACAGCCGAGAATTAATTACAGCTTTGGAAGTAACTCGCTAGCGCTGCCAGTAATTACGCCACGGGGTATTCAGGGCACAGACCGTGATCACAAGATACCGCCAATAGATTTTTCATGTGAACGGTCCCTAATTGTCTGCTTGTTGTTTTAAAGCCTGGGACCACATCCATACTGTATGTGCACATAATAAGAAAGAAGCAGTTCTTTTCATTTGATGCCATTTCAATCTGCAAATGTAAATGGAGTTTGTATAATGTAAAAGCCAGTGATATTAAATGATTTTGTTTGTGTGGTGGATATATATAAAAAAGTGAAAAATGGTGTAAACAGTTAAGTGTTTCTAACTGTATCTCAGTACCAGTAGATAAAAGGGTCTTGTTCATATAAAGGAGAGACATTTTTTTGTTAATAAAATGGCATGGCACTGATATTTGTGCTATGTTTTCTTTGACAGACTTATGTGTAAAGTGATATTATGCATTTTTTTTTTCTTTTTTGCACCTGCAGAGTGAATACGTTGTTATTATATTGACATGTATGTTGGTGACTATTTAGACTTCAAGGACAATAGTCATATAAAAATCCATTTCTCGAATTCTGAAGATCCAGCACTTAATCTATACACTACAGTTATGTTTTAATCGATCCCTGCTATTAAAAAAATTATAAAAACAATCTATTAGTAGACAAAAAGCGTTTTAGTAAACCTCACCTCAATATGCATAAATGAAGCAACAGATCTGGGTAACATGGTACTGTGACGATAATGAGGATAAAGGTCTACATATATTTATAAGACTCAACTGTGCTGCAAGTGCATACAGACAGAGAAGTTTAGGAAAGTTGTGTTGAACGGAGTTGAGCAATTTTCGTTATGCCTCAGTGTGTTGCTGTGGGATTCACCGAAATTGCAGCACTTGTTCACAATCTTTTCTTTGTCTGTGACGGTCTTCCGTGACTTAGTAACTTCGGTGACAATAGGTGCGATGCGATGAGATCATGGTCACCTCAGGTGGTTTAGATCATATCAAAAGCTGATAGTCTTTCAGATTAACTGTAATCAGTTGGCAAGCTTACTAATTGCTGATGCATTTTAAATGCATTGTAGTTGACCAAGAGCTCGTTAACAATAAAACCTGTTAATTATGTACCACTGCACATCCCAAACCAGGTAATAACAGGTATCAAACTCGTCATGGTGGGCTTTCATATTTTTCAATATATCTCATTTATTTCATGGGGTTATATTATTGGTATTTGTAAATGACGTTAAATATCAATATTTTTAACAATTGAGTTCAAACACTGTCGCGAACATTAATAAAAGTAATTGCTCTCAGGGTATCCTGAAGCATGCGTATGCCCAGGCATTACTTCCGTGGAAGAAAACATGTTGAGGAAAAACAGAAAAAGAGGGGTATATTAAAGAAAATTTGGGAACTGCTGTAATAAAATAGTTTGTATATAATCCTAATTCGTTTATGCTTTAAGGATTTGTTTCTGAAGGTTATTTCATCTGATTTATAAAATAATTTTATCATTTGATAACTTGAAAAGCAAGTTCTGCAGCTGTACACAAAACTTTTTGCAAATTTGTAAGCTTTGTCAAACCCAAAAACATGTAGCAGATCAAGGTAAAAGAGCACTGTTTGCTACTAGAAGCATGTAAAAAATCATTACTTTCATGCGTTTACTAAATGTGCAGTTTTATGTACGTTAGTATATTTTAAATTATGCATGGAGATTTAACCTGGTAAGGGATATAAGAATAGCACATACAGATTTTTAAAAGAATGTTGGGTGTAAAAAAAGAGCACTATACTGATTACTAAGTTCATTGTACATAACTTGGTATATTATGAAAAGCGGTAGATACCCAATTCTTTTAAGTATGAAGCTACACTTTTTTAAATATTGATTTAGATCCCCTCTTCGAAAAATTGTATTATAACAGCATGCTATAAAGATCTACTCAAGAAAAAAAATTGCTTGGGTAAAAATTGGGTACGGAATGAACTTGAGACACTTGGCTTGTCATTAAGTTTTCACGAAAATATGTCAGATAACTTTATACTGCCCTTGAAAGAGTAAAGATTGAAAGATAATTTTAGAGAAACTTTGACAGGGGAAATATCCACAAAGAGTGAAGGGCTATTGCACCAACATCTTGTTGAAAATTTTACACTGCAATTCTATTCTAATAAGCAAAGGAACCAATTGCCAAATTTAGACTTTCATCACATAACAGGGGCATAACCAGACCTGCAAAAATTGTACGCACATATTTTAAAAAATTCCGAGCACGTACAGCAAAATGTAGACTAACGCAAAACAGGAAGGGCAGTGTAATCACAGCAAATGAACCACATATAGTAGCTTCATTAATTTCCATTAATAATAAAATCATCATTTAAGTCAAAAATATTCTCGCGATTTAATTAATATTCTAATTAACCCATAACGGTATATTTATTTAAAAGGAACTAAAATATAGCTTTATTATTTGTTTGTGAAAATTACCCATGTTACCCTGTTAGTTTGGAGGTCTAAGCTGGTTCAAATCGTGTTAAGATTCCTATGAAGCTCTGCAGGAAAAATTCTTCCTTTGTTTCTCTAGCTCCTCAATAAACCTGGTGTTCAGATTTTATCTAGTACCCCCAGGTCTGCGGGAGCTGCTCTTTGAAACTAATGCACATGTAGATTTTTACCTGAGATAAATATCACCAGCGAGAGTGCGTTCGATACTCGCAAGACAAAGACAAGACAAAGGAAGTTCCAGTTAGATGGATGATTAAGATAGGACTTGTAAAGGTAACAGGCCTTGTTTACCTCAGTTTAATAAAAGTATGCAAGACGGGGTGTCAGCGGTTTAATAAAATAAATTGAATTTCACAAATAACATGGACCTCATATGGAATAATCAACAGTACCCTTAAGTCATTCAAATGCAGTGTTTTATACAACTTGGGATAAGCATAATTAAATGCTTGTTAAAGAATTGAATAGACGGTAAATGGTTTTACACAGTTTCACGAGGGTTTTGACCCCTCGGGTAAGAGATTTGAATGAGTATAAACTTTTATCAGAAGTTCGACAGTTCCGCCGGTGGCACGATTGTCGTCATCGAACCACATGACCACGTAGCTCATTAACTCTCAGGCCGAGCAAATAGGACATTTTTTAAAGTCCAAAATTTACAAAATGAGCTTTTAATTTGTGTATTTGGATAAAGATGTCGTTAGTTGGGCATGTTTTCTGAAGAATATGTTCCGTTTGGGCCATTCTGACGCCATGACCATTGTCCTTTCAAATTCAAGAAATGTGAAGAAAACCCATTTCCAAATCAAAATATGTTCTTAAAGCACCCCACTTGCCCCTATCAAGTTTATCTGACATAGAATAGAGCAACTCATTGATGATATCAAAAATAAATCATCCAAATTTGCCAGTTGACTTACAGTACTATTATGCTGCCTAAATAAAAAGAATGGCACAGAATTAAGAATCAAGAAGAAAACGATATATTAATCAACGTTACCTCAAAGAAAACATATTGGCCTGTTTTTACCCTCAGTTTCAGTCACTTGGGTTTTGTTTGGTTGTTTTAGATATATTTTTTTTTAATTGTTAGAATCAAATCAGTGTTGTTAGACAAAGTTAATAACAAGGTAGTGAAGACCACAGTCCTTTTAAATAAATAAATAAATAAATAAATAAATAAGGGAAAAAAGGTTCACAAACTCACCTGGGTCCTCATCCTGCTCATTGATGGTGTTCTCAGTGAGTGCGGTGTTTGACTTTTGAAGGGACAGAGCACTCTCCATGTCTTTGACCAGAGACGCCTCCTGTTCTGTGATTGGGTAGCTTGCAACATCAAATCCACTGTTAGGAAAAAAATATACAAATTTGATAAATTTTTAATGAAAAAAGAAAAAAAAAATAAAAAAAAAACTAAGAGTGTAAACATATTTACCAAATGAATGGTTATTTCAAAAGCATATTAAAAGGGAAGTATGTTGTGTTCAAGAGTTCCAAAAAGGTAGCTGAGTTTCACCTAACAAGACATATTTAGATTTAGTGAGTATCCAAAACTGATAAATTTTGATATAAAATATTGAAGTTTGTTAGTCATTATTAGAAAAAAATAGATAAACAAACAAACAAACAAATAAATAAACAGTTACTGATAAGCAATAAAATAATTATTCTGGCCTAGTGCTAGCGTCGCTGCCTAAGGACATTGAATCCACTGATATTTTACACTTTGTAAGTTCCAAACATGGTACTGCCTCCGGCACAAAATGTTTTGATCAGAACTGGGACTTCCCTGTGGCATCATTAAATCAGAATTTTCACCACTGCATAATCATTAACACCCACAGTTTTTATATGAATGTCTAGATGAAATATATTTAAGTATGGCGTTTCAGTTTATGGCATTTCAGTTTATGTGCCCTCTGTGTTTATGTCCCTCCCTTCCATTCCCCTGTTTCCTGCATAGGCTATGCTCTTATAATTCATTTTAAAATGATAAAGACAGAATAATAAGAAACCCTGTAAAAATAGATAATATATGAAAGATTGTAACTAACAAAATTAGACACTTCACTGAAAAGCCTGAAAAAATCACACTGACAGACCCTAATTTGAAAGCATTCAAGGCAAATATCTTAATATGTTTGAAGTGATACATGTAGCAAGAAAATACACTCTGTAACACCTTAAATAAATTCTCTAACACAATAACATCTGAACCAACCATATTGCTTCACAGATTCACTTCTTTCTTTAACAATAACAGTAGTAGAAAAACAAATTTAAATAAAAATATATACACACTTCTACAAAATTGTAAAAAAAATTCAAGATGTTGCTTTTTTTTCTCTTTTGCCCTTTCTTACCACTTCATCCATTTTGTGCCCAAAATCTTTTCCAGTTTTTCTCTTTCTCTAGTGAATTAAAACTTTGTTATATAACAAGCACTGACTTGATCTAGCTGGCATGTAATGTATAGAACATTTCAAGCAAACTGCATATGTTTCCCAAAATGTACATGTAGTAATATACTAATGTTAGTAATTTTCTACAATATTAATACAAATAATAATAATAATAACATCTGTGTCTGTACATAAAAATTATAATAATAACACTGTCATTTTCCTAAGCCCTTCATCCTCCAACCTCCCCCAAGTAATTAATATTATTTACTCACAATGGAGTGGGCACAGTGGCCTCTTCCATCTCTTCCAGAGTTTCTAGAATGCTGGTTCCAGATGGAGTGTTTTCCTTGGGAGGCTGGAACCTCACACCTGCTATCACCTGCAGCTCTCGGCCTTGGTCTGGTGAATACATTAAAAATAAATCTTCACAAACATATGATAATTATTAAAATCATTTTAAATATTATTATAGTAGTAAGAAGCGTTTTTTTTTTTCAAAAGTAATTGTAAAGTAACCTAAGATTGTGAATTCACAGAATTCCCTTCTACAGGGTACTAGAAATAGTACATTATATTCTTCCTGTAAAATATACTTTTTTAATGTTCTCTTAGGTGGGATTATTATAAAATTTCATTTTTTTCTTGCCACCGATACTTTTTGCTATAAACACTCCACTGATTTAATCACATCACCAACCTTCCACCACCTCTCCCTCATCAGTCCTGCATTCTATCTGCAAGGCAAATGTCTCTCCCTGGGTGATCTCAATTGTGTTCCCTTCCTCTGTCCCAACTAACACAATCTTGGTGGCCAGCTGTGCTGGTTCTCCATTGATCCACAGTCCTTCATACACAAAGCCTGAGCAATGGTACATGGTGCCTTCTCCATTAAACAGGTCATTTCTGAATTGACCCTGGGTTTTAATAATAATAATAATAATAATAATAATAATAATTTCTATAAATTCATTAAAATTATAATTATTATTAATATTATTTATTTATGTTAATCAATTTAAAATTGCAATTTATAGGTATGTTTTATAGGTGAGTGATAAAAGCAAACAGATTTATTGTAAGCCCGGTTGATAAACAGTGTAGATTTTTTTCTGAAAAATTATTTTCAGTCTGTGATAATAATAGACAGATTGCATATTGTTGATGTCATATTTTGAAGCACTAGTATACAATCTGGTACCACACATTACTTGTACCGTTACTGTATTAACTTTAAAAAAATATTCAAAAGACACCAACTACAGATCTGTTAAAGCTCAATATTGCTCATTTTAGAATCACTAAGAGATCAAGAAAAAGAACAGGTCCCAGTTTTACAGAAAAATTAAGTCAGTTATCTGACTTAGTTGACTATGATTTCCATGACAGTGCTATTACACTGCTCCTGATAGGGTAAGACTTGCCCATGTGAGCATGTTACCTTGGTAATTAAGTTCTTAGCCAGGGAACCTGACTTAAGTTTTTTTGTGAAACTGGGACCAGGTATGTTTACATAAAATGCTGTCCAAAATATATGAAAAATAATTGTTTCTACTCACGTCATATATAGAGGTGTCTGCGAATTTCACTTGTCCATGTCCCTGTCTTTTGTCCATCACCCAATCTCCCTCGTAGACATCACCATTACTAAACAATAATCAGGAATATGGGAGTCATTCACTTAATTTTAACAAAATTGATTGTTTTTTAGTAAAATCCGAAAAAAGATCAAAGGATCTGAAAAACAAGTGTAGTCTATGTGAGAAAGTATTTTAGTTAGAATGCAGAAATTCTTGATTTTTCAGGAGAGTCAGGAGGAGGTGCAAATGCCTTTATTATTATTATTATTATTATTATTATTATTATTATTAGTTTTCACTTAGGATATCATCATAAGGAGAAATCCATTCCAAAAATTTTTCTCAAAATAACCAATAATAAAGGAGACAATTTATGCTATATACTAGTAAAACATATTATATATATTAGTCCCCCTTTTATATTTGTAATACAGTGTACCTACACATAAGTCATAGTGCCTTCTCCATGCTTTTTGTGTTCATGGAAATATCCTTGGTACACATTCCCCATGCTGTCAGCTATGCTGCCATAACCTAAAACAATGTATCAACAATTTATATATAATTTCATATCATTATCATAGTGTCTGTCTGTCTGTCAACCAATTCATGTTAGAGGGCATCGAATCATTTTCCTCAAAATACTGAGAACTAGGAATTCCTGGAACTCTCATCTAAAATAAATAATTATTTGAATGAAAAAAAATGTAGACTTAATTTGTCGATGTATTTTTTCTGAATTAGCTAAAATACCAAAAGTTCCAAAATTATTCACTTACACTTCTATCTATGGCAATAAAATTTTCATTTGACTGATGAGTTGCCACACAATTCTCTGAAGCAAAAATATTCCAGTAAGTTTTTATCTGATCATTAAAAAATTTAGATATTTCACCTTGTCTTTTATTCCTGAACCAGTCCCCTTTATACACAGCCCCATCACTGTAGTTCATCACTCCTTGGCCGTGAAGTTCGCCCAGATGGAACTGCCCTCTATAGGTATTTCCTGTCGATGACCAGTAGCGGAAGCCATGGCCCTCAATTTCACCATTTTCAAAACTTCCCTCATAATAACTTCCATCAGCCATTACTAGCTTTCCATGACCTAAACAAAACAAGACAACACTATAAAGAAGCACCTCAATTATTGATACATGTATTAATACCTATTATTCACATACCCGGTATATACATGTATTATTCATCTGTTCAACACTTTCATGTATATGTATATTTTATGTCCTATCAGCCCACCCCCAACCACCCTCTCACTTAATTATCACCTAATGGCTTTGATGCAGTTTTTTTTTTTTTTGTTCTATTTTTCAAACCAGCATAATATTTCAATTTTCAAACATTGGTACATGTAAGTGCAGCAATTTTGCTGTAAACAACAGATATACTGGTAGTATATCATGACTTACCATGTTTCTTTCCTTCTCTCCACTGTCCTTCATACCGAAAGAACTTATTTTCATAATTGTAAACACCAAAACCTAGAAATAAATTGTAAAACATCAGATAAAAGCATGAATCTTTAGAACCCACTATTGCACACATCAATGAAGCAGTATGCACAGCATTTTTAATTATAAAATTAACTCGTACAGGTTGTAGCAATTAATCCCCCCCTTTATTTTGCTTGTACTATTACTAGTATCTCTGGAATTGGTTTTCTGTCTGCTACAGGTACAGTGTACATGTAGTTGAGACTATGGATCAAACAGCATATAATAAGAGTATTTTACCACACATACATATACACTGTATAATGCCATTATTTTACTGGATATTGTTTAATAAACATACAAATACATACTCGTCTATACAGCACCACAATACAGTATTTACCCAACACATGTACATTGTACCAGTAGCTGGTACTGGTACCACTAGGCTAATAATATTGCAGCGCAAAGTGCAGTACATGCAAATGTACGTAGCAAGGCAATTGCATAGAAAATATGCCAACAATAAGCTGAATGAAAAATAGGTATATAATGCAATTTTAGAGTAGCGCTCTAGGGTACGTACGGATAAAATTTAGTCCCAAAATATTACACGTCCCTATACTCCCGTTACCGATAGATACATAAAGGAAAAACGGAAAAAACGTCTTTTTAGATTTAAATACCGATAGANCGGTTAAATTTTAAACGCACGGAATACAGTGTAGCAGCTTAATTTAAGACAAAACTAAAAAAAAGTAATTCAATTTCGATGATTGAGTTTTCGAGAACAAGAGAACATGAATACGGTATCACCGCGTCACCATGTTCAATATGACCTTTAGGGGTACGTACGGATAAAATTTAGTCCCAAAATATGACACGTCCCTATACTCCCGTTACCGATAGATACATAAAGGAAAAACAGAAAAAACGTCTTTTTAGATTTAAATACCGATAGATCCGATTTTTTCTGCTGTCCTATATATTTGCGTTCCTATAGATATGACGTCCTCATAAACCCACGTCCTTTAAGTCCGCATACCTATAGATCCACGTATTTTTAGATCCAAATACCGATAGAGGTACACTATTGCTCGAAATGGTTGGTATACTACTCAGTACATAAAATGCACTTCTTTAAAACGGCAGTACGCAGTCAGCAATATATTATTCTACTAGATCGTTTTCACACAATACTCAGTGAAAGAACATAAAAAGAACAAAAGTGTGTTCTATACTGTTCTAGCGTCAGAACATGCACTGTTTAAAGTGTTCTCAAAATGTAACATTCGAACATGTAAAAAGTGTTCTGAATTTACATGTAAATGTGTTCTAAACAAAACAAAACAAAAAAGAACATAAAAATGTGTTCTAAATTTCACAACGCAAGTTGATATGGGCCTGCCGAAAAGACCACCCCTCACATTACTGACCACAGAACATGCAACTGGATGCATCAATTGTTTCGAGAGTTGTGTGGTAATTAGGTAACTCACCTGGCTACACATGGAGTGACACCTTAGTTTTGAATTTAAAGTAGTTAGAGAGAAAATAAATATTTTGTGAAAAATTTTCTCGCCAAAAATAATATCCCATATTTAGTAGTAACCCTATATACAACTTGAAACTATATGCTGGCAATTGGTCGGTTTTTGTGGCAAAAAGAATTGACTTTGTATGCATCTTTAGTTGACGGGGGTGGTGTGTGTGTGTGTGTGTGTGTGTGTGTGTGTGTGTGTGTGTGTTTCTGGGATTAATCGCTATATGAAAAGAAAATATAATCTTAGGTCCCTGTCAGAAGCCTTCGTAATCAAAACTAAATGAATATAACATAAAAATAACAAAACATCTAGTGAAATCAAAAATTTCTGTCAGATAATGCATTAGTAATGTAAATTACCCGAGTATTTGTAAAAACGATCTAGTAGAATAAAAAATTGCTGAAGGGATTAATATGTGTACTGTCTTTTTTAAAAAGTGCACACACAGTTTCTGCCCTTGTATAAAAACGCATGGGTTTGCAAATCTTTGGAGTGAATTTGGAGAAGCAACAAAGGGGTCTGAAACTTGACAGGTGCCTTAGAGAAGATATGGTTCGACAGCTAAGCAACGCAGCTTACTATGGGATTCTTGCTCTCAGAGAAAATGACCAGAAACAGACAGCCATTGCCAGGCAATGCAACATTTATCGGGAACCGTTAGTAAAGTCCTCAAAAGAAATGCTACAATAGGGGCACCTTCTCCAATACCTCGACCAGGGTGTCCGCGTATCACACCAAGAAGACAGGATCGCCTTCTCCTTAGAGTGCGCCATGCTGGTCGTACAAAGACAACCAGCGTCCTCAGAAAAAGAGTGGCAGAATGTCATTCAAACGCCCGTGTCAAGGTCCCTCGTGAACTAGAGATTAATGCAAGCCGGTTATTTTGCACAAAGACCAGTGGGGGAACCACTGTTAACAGCAGGTCATATACAGTAACGTCTGCAATGGGCTGTTGACCACTTGCATTTGCAATGATAAAAAATATTCCATATTAAGTAGTAACCCTGTAAGTAAGAGAATTTCCAAAATGCATTAATTTTACCCAAAAATGATGTTTGAACGGATTTTTCTGCTAGCATTCTATGCTGTATGTCAATGGGGCAGAAATGTAGGTCACGAAAGTAAGTTAAATTTCCGACCAAAAATCTATTCAGTTTATCCCTTGGCATGTCAAATTTATTTGAGACGTATCAGAAACTAGTAGAAGTGGTTTACATGTGTTACTGGGAATCCACGCTCCACCGATGCTCGGTTCGTATGTACCTTAAAAGTTGATGAAAAAATGTTAAGAGTTTAACAAGTAAACCCTTCTTATTTTGTTTCATTTTACACTGTGCATGATTTATTTGGGTATTTGCATGAATGATTCTGCCTGAAAACTGTCTTGTATACTTGATAGAAACCATTACTGTATGGTTGACAAACATACCCAAAGTGCAAAAATCAGCGTTAATTACGCCTGTATAGAAGTTATTTACATTGATGAAGTTACGTGCGTACATTGCGGAATAGAGTAAATGACGTGTAGACGCGAACGTACATGTAAGTCTTGTTTGAACACTTAATAAATATATGAATAAATAAATAATTAATAAATATCAGGTTGTAATTAAGTCAGATCACTAAGTGGGTCAGTCTTCGCAGTCAGGCTATCACTCGAAAGCCTCATACCTGTATCTCAAGTTGATATCGGCATTTTAGCCGATTACGATGTCAGATAGTTGGATCTAGCGGTACCTGAAACTAAAGATACGTGGGTTTATAGGAATCTGCTGGTGGATCTATCGGAACGTAAATTTAACGGGACGTAATTCTATTGAGACGTGTGTATAGAGACGTATCTATCGGAACGAATATTTATTAGGACGTTTATCTATATGGCGGACCCCTGGCCATTACACGTACAGTATCATACGCTGAACAAATTTTGAGTGGTGATGCAATGCTTTTCAACCCCGCTGAGAATCGTCACTATCACATCACGTACTAGGCAAGAGCGGTGTCGCGTCTGATACTGTGTAATGCGATCTGACACACACCTTGAAAACGGGTAGTGTGGTCTGATCTACCGGTGAATTCAGGATCATTCGGTGCCGAGTCTGGTAGTTGGGTAGGCCTGGATGAGAGATCTGAAATTCAAACCAGTCCAAATTATGTTGCATTAGCCGGGAAGCGCACCCGGGCCGGCAAGCAATTTACTACCACTGAACCACCAATGCGTACACCGTCCAAAGAAATTGACCATCCGTCGGACCTCCCTCATCCCTTTCACGCAGTTTTAAACAACGTGTCGGGTCCGACATAAAGATCGTACGAAGTCGTATGACGTAATGTATTATAGTCCAATAGCTCTTAAGTAATGTGGCGGCCTCTTTGAAAAACGCCGAGGTAAAGAAATTAATTATACAATTATAGGTAGTTAAAGTTTGCGTCATGGACCATACATGTAGATAAAACATAAGTATATAAGCGATACCTGGGGAGATATACGGGGGTCATGTAGAAGGAAGCAGCGGAGGAAGAGATTGGAAGCGACGGAGTACGAAGCTGACGAGTTAGGAGTTGGAGACTTCACTTAGAACATGTAGTTACCGAGCGTCAACGAATAAATCGTTTAACTAGTCATTATGTGGACTTGGGTTTTCCTTGCTCGACCGTACGTAAATCTGACACGAACCGTACGGATCCAGAGATATTTTCTGACAGGCTTCCAAATTATCTCCATTGATCAACCCTCAATTTTTGACCGTCTTCCGACAAAAAAAATTGATACCCGTCAATGTAAACTTGAAAATCTGACCGTCTTCCGGAAGACCCAGAAGACGACCTAAATCCGCCCCTGCGTGGAATCTTTGGATTGCGTTATCCACTAAGTAAGTCTAAAACGTAATGTCCTATTTCGAGCCCACGCTTGAATTAAGCGTTCAAAATTATATAAGTTTAGGACATTCGTCATAGGTATATGTAAAAGGTTCATTACAAACGGTGTTGTCAAACTTAGCTCAAAACCTGGGAACGGTTGGACAACACAACAAACGTATCACAATATTTTTAAACCGAGTAACCAAGGGACCGTTCACATGCAAAATCTATTTTCTAAAAATCTATTTTCTATTCGCGGTATCTTGTGATCACGGTCTGTGCCCTGAATACCCTGCGGCGTAATTACTGGCAGCGCGAGCTAGTTACTTCCAAAGCTGTAATTAATTCTCGGCTGCGCTCGGAGTGATCACAAGGTACTGCGAATAGAAAATTGATTTTTAGAAAATAGATTTTTCATGTGAACGGAGTCCAACATGCCTTTTTTTCTTTGAAATACCAATTTACATCTTTATTTCTGTGGGACGCAGCGATTTACATAATCACAGGTACAAATGTATATTAAAGACACTAAAGGTCTAACTGTGCCACTCACAGATGAATGCAGTAACCGTTAAGCCCCCTTTACACTGGACGGGGTGGATCCAGAGATTTTCTGACTGTCTTCCAAATTATCTTTGTTGGCTTATCCTGCACTGCCCCACCCCCGCACGCGCTCACACACACACACACACACACACACACACACACACACAGGATTACGAACCAATTTATTAAAGCTATTCCAAATAATTTATTTTTTCTTTTCTTTTATTACCGCTCTTTTTTGAGTTTTTCCTCAACCACATTTTCTTGTATTTTTCCTCGGAAATATCAGGGGCGGATCCAGAGATATTTTCTGACAGTCTTCCATATTATATTTGTTGATCCATTCTCCATTTTT